ATAGAGCAGGGTTTAGGGCTGTTGTACATAGGGTCGCTATGAGTCGCAAACGACTCGACGGCACACAACAACAACAACAACAACAACAGCAACAACAACAACAACATATCCGTATTTATGCCAATAAAATCAAGAGATGAAGGTTAAATATTATGTCAAGAAATTACAGTGTAATTTCTAGGAGAGATGGCTGATTTGAAAGATGGTGGTTCAGTCCCTTTTCACCAAAAACATAAAAAATAAAAAATAGCAGATATGGATAATAATCCTGGAACTTTGACTTTAAAAAGAAAGGAAGAACCTTAGGGAAAATAAAGCATACAGAGAAAGCTGGAACACAGAACTGTAAACAGCACACATGGTCACTGACAGCTGTCCAGGGTGAGTGGATGTTGAGTCAGCAGCTGTGTCCACACAGCAGTGAGATACCGGAAAGAAAGATGAGATCTCCCCACCTGCCTCCTTTATTTTCTCAGAGATCAGAGTACTGACTTTCTCCCATCACCAGTCAGCAAGTGGCTGGCAGCATTTTCCAGCTCATCCTGCTCTTTCAGATGCCAGATCAGGATCCTGCATGGTTCTACACATAGACTGTCTCCAGGCGCTCATGGATTGTGCTGGGCTTGGCCTGTTGTAATCTACTCGATTACAGCAGTGTCACCTATGGATGTGGTATCTGCTTTTCACTGGGCACCATGCCCACCATACACCAGGGCCATACCTGGAGCAGGGCACTTTTGGCTGACAGCATCATTCTTGGGGATTTCAGGTAGGCAAAGACTATCTCTTCACACCAGCCACTTCTGACTGGGTTCACCAACAGCACCCACCCCTTTGATTGACAAAGACATGATGCCTACCCAGGTGGACTCTCTTCAGTTCCTCTGAGATCAGCAAAAATTGAGTCACATGCTGGGTGCCACACATCCAGATGCCCAAAGTCATTGATGGCCCAGCTCATGTTTTGAAGTGTTAGCCACCTCTCCAATGAGCAGAAGTGCTAACCTGACTGGGCTCCCCAACTCCAGTCTCCTGCAGGACCGGCAGACACACAGTTCAAGGCCAACAGCTCATCTCAACCCACCAAAGCAGTGACAAGAGCACCAGTCAGGCGCTGAGTTTACCTCCTAGCAAGGTTTCCTTTTCTATTATTTTTCCATGGCTCATTTGATTTTCCACATGCTTGTCTGATTTCTATTTTGTTATTTTTTTCCCTTCCCCTCTCAAATCCACCTGCATCTTCTCAGTTTTCTTCTTTCTAACTGGCCTTTTCTTTGCAAGTGTTCTCCTCCCTCCTTTTCTCATTCCCTCACCTCTTATTTTGCTTCTGTGTTACTATTCTTTTCTCCTGCCTTTCTATCCTGAGCCTTCATTTTGTAATCACCTCAATTTTGGCTTATCCAATTCCTTTTAGTATCCAATCTTGTTTGCATTTTGGGAGTGTTTTCTGTTGTTTTGGTTTACTGTTCCATTGTCCCATCTTACAATAGATACTTACAGCATCCAGCCACCTTCTGCACCCACCAAGCAAGATTAAAGACCAGCTCCTGATTTACCTGATATATGAAAACACTGAGGTTTTAAACACTAGCAAACACAGAACTTCATGTATCACATCAACTTCTGTTATAACCATTAGTAGACAAGAGGTAAAGCCTTAAAAATGACAAAACTACTTAGAGATGCAATAAGCTCAGTAAGATATATCAAAACGAAAAATTCAAAGACACTACCACAATCACGACCACAATCTTGAAGCAACAGAACCATTTAAACCAATCAAAAAACCAGGATAAGATGAAACAACATAGGAAGCAAGGCCTTTAGAATGTTCTGATATAGAATTCAAAAGAACAATAGTTACACAGAACACATGGAACAATTTTTAAAAAAACCAACAACAGCACAAACCAACTACATAAGATCTAATAGTTAAAATTAGTGGAAAATTACAATACAAACCCAGCAAGATGGGACTCAGAACATTAAGACTAAAACTGCAGAAATAGAGAACACATTTCCTTATTTTGATCCATGAAGGATATAAGCTCAAAATAAAAGAAATGGAACACAGAGTGAGTGAAATGAAGGACAAACTGCTCAGTACTAACCTGTTACAGGAACCGTCGGAAAGGAGGAAGAAAGAAAATTAAGAAAGCCTCTGTGGGACAACAGTAAGAACATTAAGAAGATGGGGATTCCAGAACAGGAAGACAGCAAAAGCAGCACAGAAGAATTAACTGAATTAACCGGTAGAAAATTTTCCAAATATGAAAAAAAAAAATATGCATGCTGAGTGAGCCCCCAAAACAACACACCCCAAACATAACACCAAGGCAAATATATTAACATCAAATTTTCCAAAGTTAAAGATAAAGGAAAAAATACTGAAAGTAGCTTGAGAAAAATAAAGAGTTACCTAGCAGCCATGCCAAGGATTGGTTCAATGTTAGAAAAATGATCAGTGAAATCCACTGGTTCAATGTTAGAAAATGATCAGTGAAATCCACATATAAAATTAAATAAAGGAAAAGAACAACATGATCATTTCAACTGGTGCAGAATAGGCATTCAGCACTCCTTTCTTAATGAAAATATTCAACACAGTTGGAATAGAAAGGGAACTTTTCAACATTATTAAAAGTATATATACAAACCCAATGGCAACACTACTCTTAATGGAAGAAGACTGACGGCATTCACACTGTGAACAGGAAGCGGCAAGAATGCCCTTTATCAACTCTCCTATTCAGTATTAGAAGTCTTGGTCAATGCAATAATGAAAGAAAAGGAAATAAAAGGCATATACATTGTCAAAAAGGAAGTAAAATTGTATTTGTTGATAATTTGATAATGAGATAATCCAGAAGAATTAAATAAGAAAATTGCTAGATCTGACTCCACCATACAAAAAAAAAAAAAAAAAATCAAACCAATTATTTTTTTTCTAAAATAAAAAAGAGAACGCTGAAAGAGAAATAAATAAAATAATGCTATTTATAATGGCCATCCTAAAGATTAAATATTCAGGAGTAAGTCTAATCAGAAACCTGAATAAAGAAAACGATAAAGCATTACTACAAAAAGCCCAAAGAGATCTACATAATTAAAGGAATACATTAGGTTCATAGATCAGAAAACTTAACATTGTGAAAATGGCAATACTGACCAAAATCAGTCTCCAAACACAATGCAATTCCTGTCCAAATTCTACCAAAAGCAATCTATACTTAGAACTCAATCCCTACCATTTTTCAAAGACGGGGTGTGTGTGTGAAATCATTAATGTCATATATGAAGGAACGAGATCTCAGCTGAGTTAAATGATACTAAAGAAGAAAAACAAAGTAGGTGTCCTTATACCTCCTGATCTCATAATGTATTACATGGTCAGCTTGTTGCTGTTATGTACTGTCGAGTGAGTACCTATAGCTGACCCTCTTGTGGGTTTTCAGAGGCAGTTATTCTCAGGGGAGGAGAATGCCCATTCTTCTCCCACAGAGTAGTTGGTGGACTCAAACCCCATGCCTTCGGGATTATAGTGCAGTTCCTTGTCACTAGACCACTAGAGATTAAAGGACAAGTACACAGATAAGTGGAATAGAATTGAGAACCCAGTATAAATACATCTAGCTATAAACAACTGATCTTTGACAAAGAGATGAAACCCACCAATCAGGGGAAAGATAGCTTCTTTAACTAAGAGTGGTTACTTAAATTAGGTATCTATTTGCAGAAAACTGAAAAACTACATACGAAAACCAACTCAAGGTGGGTCAGGGACCTTTGAGTAACACCTAAAACTACACAAATCATCAAAGAAAAAATTGGAACAAATACAGGGAGCTTCTCCTGGCTCAGTGGTAAGGAGTTAGGCTGTCAACCCATGAGAACATGGTTTGAATACATCAGCTGCTTGGTGGCAAGAAGGTGGGCGATCTCCTCCTGTGTATAGCCTCTGGAAACCCGCTGGGAGTCAGCTATGAGCTGGTTTTTACTCCACAGTACACAACAAGAACGGCACAACATGTTGTTCTTGTCATTATCCTTTGTAAATGTTATATGCCCAGCTTTGAACAGCTCAATCTAAATTTTATTCATTCTGAAATCAATTCAACAGCAACAAATATTAACAAGCTCAGGCTCCAGTCTCATCACTTTCCGGAAACTCTCACATTAGGCAGCAGGAACTATATCTGCAACTCTGACAGCAATCAATCTTGCTCCTCACAGTTTTAAAACTAAGTTGGCTCAATGTTTTTCATGCAGTGGCAGTTATATATAAGAGAAAAAGAAGAGTTATGTTTGAAAAATATCTTTAAAATTCAGATTTTAAACTTTCAAAAGTGTGATGTATATTCTTTTAAAGTCAACTTTCATAAAACTATCTATTGTTGTTGTCATGTGCCTGCGACCCTGTGCAGAACAGCCCTAAACTCTGCTCTATCTCATGCCAATCTTATTGTCTCTAACACACCTATCCCCATTACATCAGTCACTGAATCAATCCACCTTGAGGGTCTTCATCTCCTGAGCTGTCCCTTCACCCTCCCAAGCTCCCACCAATTAGCTGATTTTTTTTTTAAATTAGAACAGAGTTCATGGATCTTTTCCTCACAATATATCAATCCTTCTTCACAAATACGTGATTGATTGCTGAGCAAGCCACCTATGAATGGTCTGCTCCTGAAGCACACAATCAGTGAGCTGTAATTTCCAAGCCATTCAAGAAAGTGTAATAGATTGCGAGGAGTAAACGATATTCATATAGAAAAAGGCTAAGCCACACTCAAATTTACTTATATTCTAAAAAATAATGAATTTCAAACTTTAGTATTTTCACTGTTTTTCCTAACAAACTGCTTCTCACATAACTCCTAACTAGTGGTTCTGTGTCACAATTCCACATTTCAGTAATGCTGATTTCAAAGATTAGTCAACCAGTTATTGCATACTCATTACTACAACTTTTTACTTTGTAAAAACAAACACATTTGTACTTACCGTAAAGAGAGCTTTACTTTAGGTTTAAAATAGGGTGCTGTCTGATCTGCCAAAAAGACGATTAAATCATTTCCTAAAGAAGTGAATAACAATGAATGAATGGAAATCCAAAATCTCTGTAAATGTTCATTAAAATTAATAAAGTTTAATAAAAATTTTAAAAAAAGAAGTGAATATATGGTATTAGGAAAATGGTTCGAGATTCATTAAATCAGTGGTTACAGGATTTTCAGGCATTGTTCTCAACAAGGAAACTTTTACTCTTCTGCGTATTATCTCTTCAGGCAAAGATAGTTCTATTAGTTTAATGGAACAGGGTCTCCAACATTACATCACAAACTGAAGGGTCAAAGTAACAGAGAAATTGGCAACCTAAGTATCAAAAACTTGGGGGTCAAGGTTAACTGAAGTCCTGGCTTCTGCCAGGAGACTGGATGACTTAAAAAAACTATACAGTTCTTAAAAGAAAGATACAGTTCTTCACAGAACTGTGTATTTTAATTTTATTAGAAGACTTATCTAGTATCACAGCCCTTTTTAACGTTGTTTATAGTTCATCACTCAGATGCTCCACCCTAAGGACACATACACTCCTGCTGTAGGTAGTCAGCACTACTAAGGAAATGATTAAGCAACTAAGCAGAAAAAATGGAATCCTCCAAGATCTCCCTATTGAACCATCTCTCAGGATGATGCAGTTTAAGAGCTCAATGAGCACACTTTCGGACATTTTATTGAAAGAATTGAACCAAAACATATGCCATTATTAAAATTTCGAGTCTCTGGGGTTTAGCTGAGGGAGCTCAGGTAGGAGTTTGAAATGAGTTCTTCAAAGACAGTGAAAATACCTAGGGTTCACAAGAGACTACAGGGTCAGGACAAGGGCCCCCGGGAGGCTGGAACAGCATTCAGCCAAGTATGAGTGGTCAGCTCTTTGCTTCCTCCCTATGTGGCCTTCATCTCATGCAGGATTGCTTTTGCCGACATTGATAACACTAAGATCCATTATCAGCATTAAGATTCACAAAAATGTTTAGTACTAGTTAATGGAACTTCTAAGAACCATAAACTAGGAAAGATAGATACTGGGGAGAGAGTGAAGTGCCAACCTGATGGAGAGTCAAGTTTAAGTAAAAACTAGGTAATTTAGGAGGGTTGAATCTGCAGTTTTGAAATTCTGTCCTAAGGAGACAGTGGGGTTTATTAAATGTCCCTGAAAAATACAGTGTGAACATTGGGATGTTTATGGCCTTGGAAGACAAAGTAGCATCAGAGAAAGCTAGGTTTCTGAGAGAGGAAGACTCTGAGAGAGGATAGATGAATGAGTCAGGTAAGAGAGACAGGAAGATGTCTCTTATAAGAAATTTAAGTTGCATCGTTTCCTGTTCACCAAAGGGAAGGGAGCAGAACAAAAGATAAGGAAAGGATCTTAAAAAGGGAAGGGAGCAGAACAAAAGATAAGGAAGGGATCTTAAAAAGGGAAGGGAGCAGAACAAAAGATAAGGAAGGGATCTTAAAAGGGGAAGGGGGCAGAACAAAAGATAAGGAAGGGATCTTAAAAGGGGAAGGGAGCAGAACAAAAAGGACCGTAAAGGGGAATAGAAAGGTGAGCTATGAACAGTCCTGGGAATCAGGAAGGGCTTTGCAAGGTAAGCAATTCCATCGTGTAAAAAGGTGTGCAGTTGGAGGATGCTAAATGTTCAGGTAATAAGAAAATGTACATTGGGGCGTTGCCAGGGCTTATGTCAAAATTAAGGGGTGGCTGGATCAGGCCCTAGAGCAGGAAAACATACAGAATAGGGGTAAGCTGTCAAAGATTCTGATTCGGGAAAGGGAAATTCCGGAGGACAGGCTATCGGGTCCAGGGCTATGGGGACACAGGGATCGCGGGCAGAGGAAGGGCCGAACAAGCACTGACTTTCCCGTAGCACGAAGAGGTCCGTCTGCTTGTCGGAGTTGAGGTCTCCGAAGGCCGCTACGGTGCCCCACGCCTCAGCCCCAAAGAGCTCGACCGTGACGTTGTGGAGCGCCCGCACCGGGGTCGTCCCGACCATGAGGAGCGCGAGCCCCGCGAGCAGCGGCGCCGGCAGCGCTCCGGAGCCCGGGAGCCGGCCAGCCACCGCCATGGCAGCCCCTCGGCCCCCGCCCACTGGCCCAGAGCCGCGCTGCTTGACGGCAGCCGTAAAGCGCCGAGACTCCGGGCGAGCGACAGAATGCCGAGCCCCAGGGCACACACAAGCCGCCCGGGTTTTCCTCTCCCTCGGCCTCGGGGCCGTACCCCTCGGTGTTCGAAAGGTCGTAGAGCAAACTTAAAGTTCGCTCTTGGGCTCACTTCCGGCTGGAGCGTCTCGACAGTGTCGCACAAGGAGCCGGGGGGGGGGGGGGGGGGCCAAGGCATCCGCCTGAGCGCAATGGCAGGGACGGCCGGGCTCCTGGCCGAAGTGAGCTGGAAGGTCCTGGAGCGGAGAGCCCGGACCAAACGCTCAGGTTTGGCTGACTGGGGCGTCGTCCACTTTCCTGCACCATGGGTGGGACTCCGTCTCAAACTCCCTGGGCGGGAGGTAGTTGGGGGGTCCTGGAAATAAAGCTTTGCCCCTTGGTTTCCTTTCTACAATCAGAAGGCGGCCCCAAGTTTACTTTTAAATGACTCCTCCCACCTGTAGGATTAAGTGATGACCTCTGCTCAACTCTGTTTACAAACCTTAGAAAGCTGTCAGGGCATCTTCTGGAGTTGTTTGTTTTTTTATCTCCCTTTAGAAATCAGGGAAAATCCTGCAAAAGGGAGTGAGGAGTGTTGTGTGTTCTCTAAACCCAAATCGCTTCATTCTTAGGACTTCATCTAAACCCCACAGATGTTTAGCCCTGGCAGAAAGTAAAGGGCAGAAGACCTTAGGCCACCGGGAGGGTCACGTGGAGTGTACTCAGGACTGGGGAGGAAGTGGGCACCTCCTTTAGACAAGTGATCCCGGGACACCCAGTTCCCAGTTGAAGCTACCTAACCCCAGGCCTCAAGTCAGAAGATGCCTCGCAGGCAGTTAGCACTGTTCAAGTGTCCTGAACTGACTTTTTTAAACTGCAAAGTCATGACTTTGAAATTAACACGTGTGGCTGAGAACTTGTGGAGAGAGCTAGGATTGAAAGTTCCCTTATTCCTGGCTTACTGGAAATAAACTTGAGCTATAAAATACGCCTATATAAAGAAAAAGTAGTTGGATAAGTCTTAAACTAAAGATCTTTTAAAAGATTGGTTATTGTGGGAAATGCTTGTATTAATTTAAGAACACACACACAAAGAAATACTGACCTAGGAAAATTAACTATGTATTTGAGTGAGTATTAAGAATTTTTTTTTTCTTCTGAACAATATACTCCACTCATGTTTTTGGACTTTTGCCTATGTAGTAAAGTTATAGTTGCACACACTGCTATTTTCTGACCTTTTAAAAAAAAATACAGTCAAAGTACATAATTTTACAAATCATAACAGGAGCATTTCACCTAGTCTTTGTTACCAGTTTTATTGTTTTTTTATCTTAAAAAAAGACATGTACACTTAAGCTAAAATAAAAACCACATGCAAAATAGGAGATTTTTTTTTAAGTTGACCTTAGTGTATTTCAGACTCAATTCACGTACTTAGAACAGTCATCAGCAGTTTTGTGCATTTGTCTGAAATGTCAGACATACCGAAATATGTGACTATCTGGGTTACAGAATTTATTACTGGATTAATGATACCTGGTCAAAGATTTTCTTTCTAGATAAATAAGAGTCTTTATTTCTTCTGAATTAAGTGTCATAGGAGTAAGCTTCAAAAACCTTTGTGTTTTTGCCAACTGGGGGAAAAAAACCAAATGGTTATTAAATGCAAGCACTTAAATTCAGTGCCAAGTTGTTAAGTGTGTAATGTTAGTGTTGGAGGTTTCAATGTTTATGATAAGAAGAGCACTCAATTGAAATTATTCCCCCAAATTAATAGTTATGTTTGAGATTTAGTTTCTTCTGATAATTATGTGAGGTACATAGCCTTACAGAGTTTCTTGAGGGAGTCATTTTCTGTGTGGTTAGAACACTGTAATTCTGTTTGTTACATTTAGAATGTGTAAACAGAACTTTATTTGAAAAGTACACTAAACTGGTATAGACTCCATTGCAGAATTCTGAGCATTGTTACATAGTAGTATAATTGCTTAGGGAATGCTAGCATTTAATAGGTGAATGAATGTTAACGTGTTTCCTGCCATGATCATCCATACAAGCAATTGTGATTAATCAAAGAAAATAAAATTTTCAAGTCACAGAAAATTGAATGATAATAAATCATAATTATTGTCTTTGTCACACTGCATCGTGTTAATAACTGCTCACCCTGCTTTCAATTAATCTAATGCTGATTGCATCTAACCTTTACTAAACAGTTTGGAAAATTGCAGTAGTTTAGCCTGCAACACTTACGATTAGAGACAACAGTTTGAAATGACCAGCTCACCTGAAGTGGTCGTCTCATCGCCGGCTTTATTAAGGCTTGGTAAGTGTACAGACCCCAAAAGGGTCACTTAGTACTTTTAAAAATGTTTATGTCACCGTATTTTATTTTGTGTTTATTTCTTTGGTGGGCCTTTAATGGAGTACCATTTTTCATATGTTCTGGCCAGGTTTGCATTGTATTTTGAGTATATCTTGGTTATGGTAGGAAACAGGAAAGGTTGAGAGAGGATCCTTACCCTGACACTTGTAAACTCTGACTACAGATAGTTCATTTCATCTGTTTTTGAGGCCTTGATTTTGAAATGATAAGACAGCATTTCAAATAATTGTTTTTTGGGGGGTTGTTATTTTGCATAAAGGAAACAAGTTTAAGAAATGAGATGTTTGGTCAATACCCCAAACTTCAAACTTTTCATCAACTTCCTTTAAAGTAGATACTATCATGTAGATTTCATAGACAGGAAACAGCAGATCACAGAGGAGAAACTATGGCCACTAGGTTGTGAGACTTTGTTTTAAGGCCATGTGTTTTGTGCTCAATCCTATAGATTCTTCTTGTAAAAGTTGGAGGAAACTGATGCAGTGCTGCATGAAAACTGTGATTCCTTGTTTGATGAGTTTGTTGATATTTTGGCAACAATCTCTATGAGGTCCATGGACCTAGAATAACCTATGTATAAAATTCCATTAGGAACACACACCTTTGAATGCAGCCAGCTCACTTTAGAGAAAAACTGGCTTTGTTAAATGCTTGCTGCAATGAAGTTAAGACTGAAACTCTAGGACCTTTCCTTTCCTGTGGTTTACTTTTGACCATTTCATTTGTCAGAACACTATGGTAGAAACCTGTTGGCAAGATTCTGCATTGTACCTAAAGCAAAATATTGAATTCACAGGAGTCATTAACTGGTAGATACGAAGGACGCCAAGTCAATCAGTGACAGTGAATCGTTCAGAAGTAGGCTGCTTCTTGTGCCCATCTGTACTTTAATTCCTGTGTTGTCAAATGAAAAGAAGAAAATTTCTCAGAAATGAGAATACAGCTTAGGGAAGAATTATTTTCTAGCAGGAGAAAACATAGCTTGTATTTTAAGTAACAAAACAAGAAAGGTTTTATCTTCATTTGCCTATTATTGAATGAAGAGATCATATAGCATAGTATATGTAACAGCATTTAGATCTGATTAAATATTTGTACTAAAACCTAAATGAATATGTATTTTTGGGCTTTCTTTTCTTTCTTGTTGAGGCTCAAGCTTTGTTCTCTCTTGGCTTGCCAGTGAAGTCTTAGTAGCTTTCCACCATTTACTGAATGACTGACTCATTGCCATTGAGTTAGAACTGACCCACTCCTGACTCGCCATTGAGTTTTCAGAGGCTGTAAATGCACAGGAGGAGATTTCCTATCTTTCTGGTGTGAAGAAGCTGGTGGATGTGAACCCTCTGCTTTTAGATTGAAAGATCAACTCCTTGCTCACTAGGCCATCAGAACTCCCTCCATTTTTATTTATTATTCCTGCTCCGTCCACCCACCAAATTTATGCAACCCTGTGATTTCACACCTTGTCCATCTCACCCTTCTACTCCCATCCCTTCCCTCTGTTGGGTCCCCAAACATGTTTTATTAAGTTATCCTTCTATTTTTATAATAATGGTCTTATGCAGTATTTGTCCTTATGAGACTGAGTTAGTTCATTCAGCCTAATGTCCAGTCTTTCCCAAGTTATATAGCATGTTTCAAAAATCATTGCTCTGTAGTGCTGCATAGTATTTTATTGTGTGAATGTACCACACTTTCTTAATTCATTCAGTTGTGGTTGGACATTTGGGCTGTTTCCATGTTCTTGTACGGTGAATGATGTTATGAACATTGGTGTACAAATCTCCATTTGTTTCTCAGTTCTAATTTCCTTAGGGTATGTTCTTAGTAGTAGAATAGCTGTGTCATAATGGAATTTCTGTGTTCAGCTTTTTTGAGGAATAAACAGACTGCCTGCCTTCCAGAATGGTTGTGTACTCACCAACTGTATATGAGAGTTCCTACCTTTCATCATCTTCTCCAACATTTATTGCTTGCTGCCCTGCTAAATTTTGCCACTGCTGCTGGGGTGAGATGGTATCTCATTGTGCTTTTGTTTTACATCTCTCTTATTGCCAGTGATGTTGAGCATTTCTTCATGTGTCTGTTAGCCATCCAAATGTCTTCCCCTGTTAAAAGTCTTTCCATGTCTTTTGCCCATTTGTAATTGGGTTATCCATCTTTTTATTCTGGAGGCCCATGAGCATTCTGTAAACTTTTGTTATGAGACCCTTTTCTGAGATGGTATTGTCCTGTGTATATAAAAAACTTTTCCCACTAGGGTGAAAAGAAAACCTACTGATTGGGGGGGGGGAAGTTTTTTACTATTTTTAAGTTCATTTCATTGAGACTTTCTCTTGTTTTCTTGGAACTTTTTGATGTAGACTTCTAAACATTCATCTGTCCTGATGATAAGTTAAAACAAGTAAGTCAAAGTTATTACTGTCTTTATTCTAAGAAACATGCTTATTATATTTCTCTTAAAACTTACTTGCTCTCAGTTGCTCTTTTGTTTACTGCCTCTATGCTCTTGGTCTTAGTACTTTATATCTGAAATTTAGCTTTTCTGTAAGAATGAAGATAATAACATTTATCTAGAGTAGTTACTGTGAGGAATAAATAAAATGTTAATTGCTGAGCCCTTCATACTTGTTGTTGTTATTTTGTATCCTCATGTTGGAGCCAGCCCATAACTGACCCTCCAGTGGATTTTCAGGGACAATACCTTGCCAAGGAGGACACTACCCTTCTTTCTTTCTCAGAACAACTGGTAAAATCGAACCGCATGCCTTTGGTGTGGCAAAGCAACTGCTTGATGTTAAGCTCCCAGAGCTCATTGAGACACTTTGTAGCTCAAAGCAAAAGAAAACCTTGAACTCACTGCCTTTGAGTCAGTTCTTACTCATTGCGACCCTGCATT